ATAGGACGAAACGGCCGTCCAGTGTTTCCAGGTTTTTCATAGTGGTCTAACTTCAATCGACTCATGATCTCAACCATGGAAATTACCATAATATCCACAAAACCCCTTCTGATGCAAATAAATAAATATGATATATCGATTCAACAAACTAGTTACACATACGAAACAAATAAAATATTTTTAAATAACTGTTGAAATCTTAGTACAGTAAAATACCAACTCGAGATATAAGGTGATGAAACTATTCAGTGGCCAATCAATTGTCAATGTTAACTTATTAGTTACAGATGAAAATTAAACAAATATTCACATATAGACTGTATTCTTCACAGATTTATCTTTAAAAGGTAAGTTGATTTGCAACTGGGTGATCATTGGGTAGTGACTAATGTCATATATATTACCTCTTTGTTAGTGCAGATCGAATCCTATTGAAAAAGTTGCAATGTGGTCACTAGTCTAGATGATTTGACATCTAGTGCACTATGTTGATGTGCAATGTGGTGGTTGCAGGTAATCGACAAGGAACCCTGGACCTAGGTGACATGCTATTTGACACTTATCAACAAGATGTATCTGAGCGGGGAAAATGTATTTCCATTTAGTTCTTCATCAAGGCTCTACACTAATGTATAGGTTATATAAGTGAGTAGAAAGACGATACTAATGAGATGTTGGTGAGTCAGTTTAAAAAAATAATAATCGGTTAGTTACACAATTTTTTAAACATTAGGATTAAAAATAAAGTGAATTTTTATAATCGGTTAATTGTTACAAAATTAATATTGGATGTTAATATAAATGCTTTTTTGTTATCTGTGAAATTGATGATAAGTAATGAGTAGGACGGATGCAGTGAAAATTAGATAATACGAATAATAAATAGGTTATTTAAGATTAGAACTAAGAATTGAAATTGTAATGAAATTAAAGTTCAGAAATCTTTTTTAAGAGAAGGGAAAGAAGAGTTTTTAAATATATAATGGTATCTAAGTAGAAAGCCATGGTATATTCAAAAGTTTTATAAACTTTTTCTGTAGATAAAGGTTAGGTTTTTTGTTCTGTATTCCTAGGGTTTCTACTATATGTAAGAGTTGGATTCTGGAACCATAGGGTAGATTCGGTGAGATTTTATAAAGAACTTTACACACTGGAGTTGTATCTAAGTGGTAATCGGTATTGACTAAATGCACCAAGATAGAGCTCGTTATTACTTTCTTTTTCCCTTTGGTCAACCATAAAGGGTGATGTCCAGAAATACGATGATGTACTTGTCTAATTGTGCGCCCAATATAACTAGCTCCACAGGAGAAGTTGGATTTATAAATATACGTACAGGAAGAAGGACTAGGCAACTTATCCATAAGTCGTGAAATCACTATTAGATGGATGAAGAAAGTAGCACATAATCTCGCTGCATTGAATGTACGTTCTAAGGCTTTTTGTATACGTCCAACAATCTTCAGGTCACGCATCGAACGCTTAACTATTAAAACTACTAATAGAAATTTCAACGTCAACCTATTTTTGATATAAGTCAACGATTATCTAATGGCATATGGCGTATATTTTTTTCCTCTTGACATATTTGAAACCCCTCAGTCACAATTTAACAATAAATTTCAGAAACATGTTAAGTTACTAGTGGGCTGATTAATATAGTTGAGGGGGATTGATTGTCTGGAGACTGATTTGATTTAAAGGCTCTTCCAATTAAACACTCATATAATTTCAAGATTTATCAAGTATTTTCTTATCACTCTCAGAATCAATGCAAGTTCATACTTCATTTAAAAAATCACAATTGGATCTTAGACATTTTATTTTCATTCAAATATTTCAATATTGTCTACTCTACAGTCCATAATAAGATGGAATTCACAGGTCACCTTACTAATAGAATTTAACTATTATTCAAATGTTTTCTACTTAGTTTGTAACTCATAGTTTATAGTAAATATTATTAAGAATATTTCACCGAATAGTTTTGTTTAGTTATTTATAAATTCTGCTTTCATAAACTTTGAATGTGTTATCTCTGGTCGATTAAACGCTACTTGCTATATCTAGTCGTCACTGATTATTATGTCGGAAACGTTTATCACTTATACTCGAAACGAGGGACCTCTACAATTCCCACGATGTGAAAGTAAGAACACGAAGACTGGTATGAGTGAAGATTTATTAATCCCCAAAACATGACGACAACTCTAGCAGGAGATACACTCATTTATATATTGATTGTACACCCAATTGATTAATAAGTAGAATGAAATTACATATATGAAAAATACTTAGGGTTATAACAAATCATATGCTGAGTATAGTTTATGTTAACTTAATACAATTTTATGTCATTACTACATGTGATAAAATATAGAATACACTATTTTAGTAAAAAAAGAACCCGTCATGACTTTTATATGAAGGAAGTTTGGAGAATTCGGGGTTACAGATAAAATTCTGAACAATAACAAAATCTCAATGTAAAATGTAGGTGAAAAAATGGTGGACGGTCGCGCAATATTGTGGATTGGTTGAAGTTGCACATTAACAGCGCTGGATACCGGCTCAATGGTCTAGAGATCGAAGGTCCTGGGCCTGAGTCCCGCGTGTGGAATCGTGAATGCGCACTGTCGAGGATTCCCATACAATAACGAAAAGACCATCCAGTGCTCCTAAGTTTCCGATGCTAGTCTAACATTGATCCATTCATGATATCAATCTAAACTCAACAATCTCCATAACCCTATACTGGAAAAATAAACAATGAACTATTGAGTAAACAACAACGATATGTTTTTGAGTGTTGATTCCTTTGAAAAAAAACATACCTTTTCAATGTGTAATTGGCGACATAAGAAATAAGATATGCCTAGAAAGATAAGTTTGAAAATTTGCGTAAACACTATTGTTTACAACTATATTGGACTAAATTAGTTGATGATAAATAATCATATGATTAGATTCAATTCATCACGTCATCATATCATGATTTAGAATAGATGTTTACGAGTGTTATTACCAATATTAATAACAACACAAATTCAAAAGTTTATTGTCTTTTGATTATGATCAGTTATGATATAGTGATTGATTTTCACAGATTGGAAGATATAATTGAGGAAAGATTCGTAAAGGATTTGAAGCTGAAAAGTATCTTGATATATATTCTATCTCCGTATTTACATAGTCTGTATAAAATCAAACAGACTAATTTACACATAAACCAATGTTGTCTAAGCTTCATAAGTCCAAATTATAATAGTTTCCTATTTATTTGCATTACAAACTATGAAGTATTCCTTTTCTTATGTGTATGTACTTCGTTTTGACGTTGCAGTGATTTATGCAATAGTCTTTATCAACCTTACGCAATCATATGTATCCGAGGTTCAGTAAAATTAAAAGAATAGTCAGAATTCTCGTTCTGTACAAATATAAACATTTACAAAGTCTGTCATAAATAAGGCTGAATAAATATGAACTATATCAGTCGAAAGAAGGAGGCGGAAATAACACATGCGTCGAGAAAATGTGCAATAAAATATTGACTACTCATAAGTAGTTTGTTTTATTCTGGTTAGCATTTTTTAATCAAAGAAATAACTTGAAATCCTGAAGGGGACCGATCATGAGAAAGGCTATAGAACACATTGCCTCGAGAACTGCAAGAAAACATCAAAGGGATGGATAAAAACTGGAAACCAGAGGAAAGAATTTCTCAGTACAGAGTTGAATGGAAAATGCTGGTGGATGGCCTATGACCCTCCACAGGGGGTAATATGCATGAGTAACTCATAAGTAACCCAGTTAGATAGCATTTCAGAAATATGATAAATTCTTATAACAACTTAATATAACCTCCTCCTCTCACCCCCCCACACCCATGTGTCAAACAGAAATGAAAACAGTGTACAAAATATAAAATATAAATCAAACCAATCTTCAAACAGAAACTTACTGAGAATGGTCAAAATATCTTATTTCTCATTACACTTCTTCATATTCAGTTGACAGTATATACAATAAAATGTTGTTTAGCATTGTTCCGTGACCTGATACCGTAGAGGTGTCAATCTTCTTTAGAATAATTGAAGAATACTTCCAAACAGGACAACTCTAAGGTCTCAGGGATACGGAATCTAATGCAAGTTGAATTTCATAAAGTTACATTTAATTGATAGTAACAAAGGACGTCTGTACATCATCATCATCAACTTCCATATGATCTATAATTTTCAGTTCAAGAAAATAGTGTCAATATTAGTTACCAAAAAAGTATTCATGTTAGAAAAAAATGTGAAATTATGAAACAATGTAGACATCATCACTATATAAAGAAATTTTGAGTAGTGAGAACACCACATGATCCTGCTAAAATAACAACAAATACAATCATTTTCATGACAAATTAACAAGAATTAAATTTAGTTAATTAAAAGAGTTGGAGATACAATCATCAACTGATGAGTTCCCAGATAGGACGATTCTTCGTTCTTGTTAATCACTACTTCATATATAACTTGTAGCTCTCTACAGGGAATTAATTTAGGTATCTGATCAAAAGAAATTGTATACCAACACAACAGTTGATCAAATCAAGTCTTCAGTATCACTAATAAGAAGACATAAAACAAATAACTCTCTTGCGATAAATAATTAAAAAAACAACAACTAAATGAATGCATATAACAAATGGCTTCAAATGATCTCGTCATTCTTAAGATGCCCTCCCCCCCCCTATACAATGATACAATTGTAGATATCACTAAATTACCATGAAATACTACTGATTTTTAATGCGAAAATTACCTTACCAATACGTAGTTATTTGAAGAAAACAAACAATCAATTATTCCATCTGAATTGTGGAAATCATTCTAAAGTAAATAAGTCACTGAATTATATTGATTGAAATTGAACGAAATTACTGATCAACTCGTGAAAAAGAAAATTATTAAAAAACATACAACACGTGGTACGTATGTTTACAACGATCGGAATTTAAAGTGTTAAAAAACATGATCCTTTAATTTGTCAATAATTATGAATCTTTTCATCATAATGTGATGACATTTTTACTTATTTTCATTTTGAGTGTAATGGAAAAAATTAAGTAAATACTACTGATATAGTGTATGTCACATAGTTACTAAATACAAGTTTGTATACCCAGCTTTGAGAAATAGTTTTGTTGTGTGAAAATTTGTAGTGAGATTTATTATATTCAACCGTTCTAATAAAAATAAATGGAATAAGGTTTATTTAAATCTGTTACTTGATGGACAAAGATAGATGGTGGCTAGAAGTGGAAATGAGGACGCGCGTTCCGTCCTATTTGAGACTTATCAGATGGATGTACCTGAAATCTGCATAGGATGTACATATGCCGATAAGAGACTGACCAATTGCAGTCTTAAACATCAATGGGAAGATTCGAACAAACAATATAAAATGTTACTTGATGGTTTGAATTTTTCTATGTTCTAACCATTGAACTGAAAGGGGTGTCTCTTTATGGAAAAGTTGTTCAACTAAATCGCAGTAAGTTCATCATTATGAAATCCTAATCGAATGAATTTTTGAAACACTAAAACCAATATTCAAACACCTTTTTACTTCTATTCACTATAAAACATTTTTTAAATCAGATTTAAATGAGATAAACAACTTTTGTTTACATTTACACTTTTTATCATAAATTCACCTGATAGTAGTAACTGAATATGTTATAAGATCCTTGTTGAGTTCATTAACACTTGCCAAGATATGAACATATTCATCAATTCACAAATTAAAAACTGAATAGAACTTGTATCCCATGTATTAATATTAACTAGCCTATCAATCAGTTATTATTATCAACATTAGTTCATTAAAAAGACGTTCTTTTTCAAATCAAGTGAGTAAAAAATCATGACAGATTAGAGATCATGATAATTTTCCTTATACAAAACACCAACTATGAAACATCACATCTCATTCTGTATAATTAGTCATTAATGTCAGTATTTTTTTTATTGGGATCATGAACCGATTGATGTTAGAACACCATTGAAAACCTGGAAGCACTGGATGGTCATTTCTTCCTATTGTGGGACTTCTCAGAAGTGCGCATCCACGATCCTGCCCGCGGGATTCGAACCCGGGGCCTTCAGTCTCGCGCGCGAATGCATAACCCAAAAAACCTAACAATCTCCACAACCCCTAAACTGATTGTTACCATGTGCTCACTAGTGACTAGCTTCGTGGGAAAATTTTCGGAGTTCTGGTGAGAAGCCGTAACCAGTGGAGCTAATCCGTGTCGGGTAGAAACAGGTGTTTACTTCAGTACAATGGAAGATGGTCGCGCAACTTCGTGGATTGGTTGATGTTAGACACTAACACCATTAGATACCGGCTCAGTGGTCTAGTAGGTTAAGCGTTTGCGCGCGTGACTGAAGGCCCTGGGTTCAAATCCCGTGGGCGCGATCATGGATGCGCACTGCTGAGGAGTCCCACAATAGGACGAAATGGCCGTCTAGTGCTTCCAGATTTTCAATGGTGGTCTAACATCAATCTGTGCATGATCTCAATCAAAAACTTAACAATCTTCCAAACCTCTAAACTGATAATTAATGTTAATAGTTAAAATCAAGGTCATTTTCACTATTCCCCCCCTACACACACATAAGAGTATTATTGGAAATAACATGATAAACAAAATTCACAGATTATGTATTATAGCCAATTAAATTAAGCGTAAAATACAATGAATTCATCACATATGTTCATTTGTTTATCCTCATTTTCTATCACTTCATGTTAATCAACCCCATTGTATGATCACTATTTTATACATTTTTGGCCTAGATACTAATAATCACAATAATTCAAGTGAATTTCATATTTAACCAGTGATTTATTTTCATCAATGAATTAGTCAAATGATGTCTTACTTATGGATTATTAACAATTCTATTTCTTTATTTTCCTACTTCTTTATTTTTCATTTTAAGTAAAATGAGTGATTCAACTGACAGAATGCACATGTATATACATATGTATATACACGAAGAAGCAAATTATACTACTACCAATACTACTACTATTACTACTACTACTACTACTACTAATAATAATAATAATAATAATAATAATAATAATAATAATAATAATAATAATAATACAGAAAATATTCAGAAAAAATCAACAATTTACACATGAACTAGAAAGAGATTATCCGAAAGTGTATAAACAATGTTCCATTATGACTCAGGCGATTATGAAATGATCATGACTAATTGAATTGTGACAGTATATACATATATACATGTTAAGAAGAGTTTACTTTCTATTTCACAAGCATATCTAAGATACTATCGGCGGTGAATACTTATTTACTATTTATTATATAAAATAAATCATGTGATGAAGTAAAGTAAACAATTTTCTATAGTTGTTGTTTTTCTTCTAAAATGAACAGAGGATGGATGGATTGAGGGATGGTGATTATTATAGAATAAATAATAATCATAAATACACAATTTCATCATTTCAATAATAAAAAACAATTTAGAGGTGATTTTCAGTAAATTAGTCAATAATATCATCAGTTGATTAGAATATAGTAAACAATGAAACAATGATAAGGTAGTTATTTATTGAATAATAATAATAAAATGATAGATAATAAGTAAAGAATATAATTGATGTGATCATTGTGATATCATAATTGTGTATCATAATGAAATTTACCATGAGGATATAAAAACACCCATTATGACAATGAAATAGTACAATCACATGTAAACATATAAGATTATGATGATATAAATGACGAGTAGCACGAAACCCGGGTCCAGGGTTTCCTGTTGACTACCTCCAACTACCATCTAAATATCAATACATAGTGCCAGCAGTGTCAAGTCACCTAGACTGGTGGCCACATTGCAACATGATCGATAGCATTCGATCTGCACTAATAAGGACTAGACAAGCATGATATTGATCACCACCCAGTGATCAATCAATTGTGATTATAATGATATAAATGATCTTTAATTTATACAACAACTTGTAAGAATATATTTTACTTAGTTACTAATATCCTTTATCAATATGTATTTTTCCATTCGAAAGTTCTGTAATTCATGGATTGGTTGGCTAATGATAATATCTATGCAAAAAATAGATTCAATCAATTTGTTCATGAATAAAAATTATTTATCTATAACATTGAACTGTAATGGTGTTCCGATCACAAACTGATTTGAGATTATGGATATGAATAGTTGGATTATGATACTCAGTTATTGTTTAAAAACATTGTACTCTTACATATGGGAAATTTAAAGTTTCGAGGTCATAGAGTCAATCACTTAAAATTAGAGTGAGACAGTTGTTTATTGTTTCTCTAGTTTTTATTGGTTCTTCAACTCATTTGAGTTTACTTTCCGTAAAACCACTCGACATAGATATTGTAAAAGACCGTAATTTGTGTGTTATTTAACCATAAAGTAAACTTAGAATTTGTCATTCATGTTGAAGCGTGACCTATAAAGTAAGCAACTGTCTTGTGAACAGGAAACGAAATTAGGGTACTAGTAGTATAAAAGGAATTTGTGGAGATTGTTAAATTTTGTAGTTTTATTCATCATAAACTAATCTTAGTCATGTAATTATTTGATATCAGCTCAGTCGTATGAAAATTGGTAGTTCACCTCAAGACTTGATGGTTATGCAACCGGTCCTGGGAGAGTCTTATGTGTACACACTGTAAAGGAGTACTATACCGGAACGATAAAAATGTTCAACGGTTGCTAGTTTCCAACGTCTAGCAAATGTCAGGCCATGATTTTAACCATGAAAAATGCAGGATACGTTTTTCTATGAATATATATATATATAATTTTTAATGGTGATAAACATAACCGGAGAAAAAAAATATAACAAACAACATAAGTCTATGAAAAAAACTCGACTTGTTCCCACCCGCTCCCAAATGTCTAATTAATAATTATGCTTCAAATCAGTAGATTGAACCCAAGACCTAAAATTTTTTTAGTGAGCAAATAACACCCAGACGACAACCAGCAGTCAGAATCCAATCATTCACATCCTTGATTTCAAATCAATTTTAATATGATAGTATTCTCACAAAATGGGACGAACGAGTAATAGTTTAACTCGTCACTTGTTTGAATGAACTGATTATGATTTCTTAGTAGTTTTCAGCAAAACAGACAACACCTAGGTTCAAGGTTAACTGACGGCCAGCTTCAATAGCTTAACGTCAAAATACAATGAATACCATATCAAGTCACCCATAACCGTGGCCATATTATAAGTTTGTTGATAGAATTTGATTAATATTAAGGACCTGATAAACATGGGATTGGTTACAACTCAATGGCTTAATATTAGTATCCCAGTTCGACATGTTAGTTGTTGCCGAAAAGTTCAATGGTGGTTTCTTATACTATGAAACTGAGTTAAGTGAGTTCAAATCCTACAAAAAGAATAAGTTTCCTTAACTATTTCCCCTGCTGACGACCACCAACTATCATGAAACCTAGCTCAAAGGTTTTCTGCCGATTACTCCCAGTCACTAGTGAGAAGAGGATTATTACCAAACAAAATGATTTTATGTAAATGTCTCTTATATTTTCAATTACTCATTTTTTGGAAGCATCTTATCAAACTGGAATGAAACAGTTACCCAAACTTTCGCTGGAATTTCTTCGGTTCATCATCTTATTTACACCTTAGATTGAATCATTTAAAATAATATTCATAAATTTATAATTGTAGAAACTCACAATTAAAAACGATTGAAGATAGTTGTCCTAATTTTTTAATTTTTGAAAAATATTGTAGTGTATGAAGACTTGGCGGGGATAGATAAATTATTGTTTTATACAGAATTACACTGTATGTTCTTAAAATATCAAAACCATATGTTGAATACATTATTTACACATCTTCCTTCAGATGACCTTTAAGTACTTTATGATTCTTTCAATTCTGTTTTTATTATCATTGCTCTGTTTTCCTTTTTATTCTTTTCAATTCAGTCTTCTGTTGGCAGACATTACACATTCGATTGCCACCATGTACTACTTATATCTGCACATAAGTAGCACAGAACACAATACTACTTATTAGTAGTGAATAGAGATCGTTTGAAAGAATTGTTTTATGATTCATGTATTCACTTTATACCACATGTATACTACTTATATTTTTTTATTAGAAGGAAATAGAAATTTTATTAAATTAATAATTTATTAATTAAATTTCAAAACAGTTGTTCATAGATTAATTAAACTAATGAGCTTGTCAAATATGAAGTTAACAATGTTGTATTTTGTTGTTTGTTGGTTAAACCAACTTATGATTTCATATCTATCATAATCAATGCACAAATCAAAATGAATATTTACAGGCAACAGTTTCAAGTTTTTTATGAAAACAATTGCCAATCATTTTAAACTATGAAACATTATTATTATCATTATTTCACAATAGTTACTATTTGAGGAGATAATTTTCAGTACAAAAATTGACTAATATTAAATCACCATGTACTAAGGGGTAATCAAATAATTGTTTCATTACTTAACGAGGACCATTCAATAATATGAGATAATTATAGATTTTCTTATGTGTAGTATTATCGTATAAATTTATTTCTTGATTAGATAGTGAATTGCATACAATTTTAATATTAGGTAATTTATATAATAAACAATCCCGATCGAAGCTTCTACCTTGACGCGGTGGTCGGGCTTGCCTATCGTGATGAAGCAACCGAGCTATATTGGCTGGAACATATGTTCCTGCAAGTTCTACCATGCCAGGCAGGTCGATTGGCGAACGGTAAGACTAAAAGCAGCAACTCAAGGTCTGAGGGCGAAGTCGTACTGCTGACTGTACAGAGGTGTGATAGCAGTAAGGTGTTTCCCTCGGACAACCAGCATGACAGCGATGCTGCCTTCCCACAAGGAGGGGTGGTGTGAGAAAAGGTCGATCCTAAAAATGTCACACTTCACCTTACCTCACGGATTTCCGTCTCCGGCGGTAAGGCCCCTTGAAGAACGGAGCTAACACGTCAAAAACCTTCCACAAAGAGGCCGTGCGCGACCGGCCTCAAGCAGTTGTCCCTTGGGCTCTGCGGTCACGCTCCCAGGTCGTCAAGACCAACACTAATCCAATTTCCTTTTCAAGTTCCTCAAGAAATACCCTTCCACGGTGTGGGCAGCCGGGAAGTGACATCAGCCCTCATACCCGTAACAGCACAAGAGACCAAGGTGGTCACATTCAAATCCTTCCTACACCTCCTAATACCTCTCTTATCCTCCCGACTAACCCTCCTCACGTCTCTTTATCACCTCGCACCGCTAGGGCAAACGATTCGAGTACGTGGAACGCCATTCCTGGTCTCCTGAAACCACGCTCTAAACTACACGTAGGAGCTTTAAACGTACGAACACTTTGCCAAATAGGACAGCAGGCTTCTTTAGCTAAAACTTTAGAATCTCGCGCCATCGATGTGTGCTGCGTCTCCGAAACGCGCATACAGGATCCAAGTAGCGTCATTCATCTGACCTCACCATGCCAAAATAAAGAACCGACTCGATTTACGCTTCGTGTATCTGGAAGCCCTGATTCTGCTTCCCGTGGCCTCGCCGGCGTAGGTATAGCATTGAGTCCTAGAGCAGAACTAGCTCTCTTAGAGTGGATCCCAGTAAACAGTCGTTTGTGCGCTGTCCGACTGAACGGAACAGTAAGAATCCGGAAAGATAGGGACACTCGTCGTTGCCTCTTCGTCGTCTCTGCCTATTCTCCCACTGACTGCAGCTCAGATGATGTAAAAGATGAGTTTTACAGAAAGCTCTCCGACCTTCTCCGAAAAGCTAGGCGCTCGGATGTACTAATAGTGGCCGGTGACTTTAATGCTCGAGTAGGTAAACTAAGCGATAAGGAAAGACACCTAGGTGGATCTTATGGTGTCGTGGCTCAAAGAACAGATAATGGCGACCGTCTGTTGCAGCTATGCTCAGATAACCGCCTGTTCCTTGCAAATACTAACTTTAAGCATAAGGAAAAACATCTTTTAACATGGAGACCCCCTAATTCGTCCCAACGTTGGACCCAAATACATCACATCGCTATCAGCCACCGATGGAGGGGCTCGATAGAAGACTGTCGCTCATTCTGGAGCA